TTTTGATTTTTTATATGGTTGAGATTGAAAAACAGCACGATGATGTTTTGCTACTTCACAAGATTCACACTTGAAAACTGAATGATTTTTATTCATGAATAACTTGGGAAATAGATGCTTTAAATATTGAAAGCTAGGATGTCCTAATCGATAATGCCATAACAAAACTTCAATGTCATTAGAAACAGAGATAGAACTGAAACAAGTCTGTCGGTCTTGCCTTCCCAAGGTTGATCCTTTATTAAAGAGGTAGAGGCCACCATCTTGTTTAGCACCCCCAATCATCTTCCCCGAGGTTAAATCCTAAAATTCACAACAAGAAGACCAAAAATTAACTCGACAATTATGATCAAGGGTTAGTTTGCTGACTGATAAGAGATTGTATGATATGTTAGGAACATGCAGAACATCTTTGAGGTTTAGAGAAGGAGAAATAGATACAGTTCCTTTCCCAACAACAGTAGTAAAGGAACCATCTACAATCTTAACCTTTTGACTCCCTGCACAGGGTGTATATGAAGAAAAGAATTGCGAAATGCCGGTCATATGATCAGTGGCACCTGAATCTAGTATCTAGGAGCCATTAGATTTGGTACAAGCAATGGCTGTAGTRAAAAAATTACCTGACTGAGCTAGAGAACAGGATGGGTTAGAATTTCTTAACGATTGAGATTGAAACATTTTATATAAGTGCTCTATTTGTTCCTTTGTGAAAGGAAGAGACTCTGAGGATGATTGCTGCCCTGGATCTGAGCTGCTTACTTGAAGTGCGCGGACATCTCCCCCTGACTTGTTGTCACTGCCAGATTTTTTCTTCCAACCTGCCGATTTCCCGTGCAGCTTCCAGCAGGTTTCCCGAGTATGCCATGGCTTTCTAGAATGATCACACCAAGGCCTCTGCTTTCCTCCTCGTTTATCTCCGTCTAAGTCTGCACCTCGGGCCACAAGAGCGGACCCTTCATTCTCTGTTTTTGTTTCACTAACATTCTTCAACATCACTTGCCGCCGTGCTTCTTCTCTATGCACTTCTGAAAAAACTTCTCTTATAGTAAGCAAGGGCTTTCGTCCTAAGATACGTCCCCGAACCTCATCGAGTTCTTTGTTCAAACCAGCCAAGAAAACAAAAACCCAGACTCTTTCTATCTTCTTTTTGTAATGAGCACCGTCACTGGGACTTTCCCATTCTTCTTCTTCAAATAAATCCGACTCCTGCCAAACAGCCATCATCTCATTGTAATAAGCTGTTAGTTCGCGTTCACCTTGCTGCATCTTCCACATTTGGGTATTCAGTTTGAACAGTTGTGAATGATTGTCCAAATCTGAATAGGTTTCCCTAACAGCTTCCCACACATCGCGAGCCATCGGCAGAAACATGAATGGTTTTCCAATCACCAGATCCATAGAGTTGATCAACCAGGCGGTAGCCATCGAATTTTCAGAACGCTATTGCCTGCACTTTGGATCATCAGTGGTTTTACCATGTTGTGAAATATAGAGGGAGAAAAGAAGAAGATTTTCTTTATTGATAATGTGATTATAAAAACATATTGAGCATACAACTTAAATAAGAAAAGATAGGAGAGACAAACTCCTAGAATCTCTCTCAATCAGGGATTGACTAAATCTTTCCCTTAATTCTAGGATATGACTTTCCTAATAATATTCAAATCTAATCCTTCCTAAATTTATTAAAATCTGTAATCAATCAAATCAAATCTTTCTAAATTTGCCGCAAATCCTATCTTTTTTAATTTGCCGACAACTACTAAAACATTGTCCCCTTAAATATTATATATAGTATTTATGTAACGTGCAGAACATATATTTATATGCCCCATCATGATGGTTCAACCAAGGCTGAATCTTTGACCCTTTAACCTCTCCTTTTTCTGGTTGTATGCCTGGTTCAGTTCTCTGAACATTGGTTTCAGTGGGGCATACCTAAAACTTTTTGGACCCCCAATACCAAGTGTCTTGATTACTTGGTATTGGAGAAAACCATAGATTGAGTTTTGAGCACTGCAACTATAATTGGCCATTGACTAGATCTCTGACAGCTGATATTGCCAGGCTTTATGATCTGTTGCTTAATTAGATGAAGTAAACCCTTGATTGGGATCAAACATGGTTTTAGAAGGCTTTTGGTGTAAGTTTCATGGTTCTTTCGTGCTGTTACACACTTACACTATTTTTTATGGATTTTTCTTGGTGAAAATCAGGAAAATTACAAATTTGAGTCTGTTTGACTTGGTGTAATCCATCAATGACCTGTTGATAGGTTGAAGAATTTTCTTTTCTTTCTTTTTTTTTTCTTATGAATATGTTGTTTTTTTATGTTCTAATACAAAATTTATACTTATGTTATAATGATTATAGATTATTACTAGTGAAAGATGGTTGCTGGTTTCTATGGAATCTAGGTGACACCTAGGCGCCCAATTAGGTGACATGGTTTTTTATTTAAAAACCACTTAGGATTCGTGGTTTTTATTTAAAAAATTTCATCCCATAGGTGATGCCTACGTCCCCAATTAGGTGATGTGGTGACAAAGCACCCCCTGTCTCCTGGCCTCACATTGGTACCTTGAGAACTGACATCTTTTTTAAGCTTAGCTTGAAGTTTGTCCTGTGAGAAAATGTCTCATTCTTAACTCAATTCCAAGCTTCATTGTAATGCCAAATTAATGTAGGACAAAAAGGACGCCTTCTAGGATGAACATGGTGAGTGAAGAGAATAGGAAGTTATGAGCACATGAAAGAATGAATGTGGATTGTGTAGATGAAGGCATTCAGGAGGGAGGAGGTGGAGACCCATTAGGTAACCAATGGGGACACTCAAATAAGGACCTCTAAATAACTCTTTACTAATCCTACTGGCACCAACTTATTGCAATGACAATAGGAATTTCTAAAATTAGTAACCAAAAATTTACTATAAATCATTGTTATGCGAAATGTTGTAAATAGTAAGTTTGTAAGTAGCCGTAATTAGTAAATTTGGCTTTTACTGTCAACAGTTAATGTCTAGAAGACTTACATTGTTATTCCTAGGACACCAACATACTAGGAAATGTATTTGAAAATATTTAAAATTGCTAAAAACCATTTAATGACAAGTTGGTCGGAAACTGATCCCTTTCTGTATGGATTCTTTCCACGCTTCAATATTTGGGTAATGGCCCTAGGTTTAAAGGAACACGGATGCTTTCATGTGGCTATTATTGTTTCTTTTGGCCTTATATCTAATTGATTTTCATCCCATGGTTTTTACTCTATTACTCCTATGACACTATTTGAGCCAGTGAGCTAAGTGCTTTAACGAATTAATTCTATTTATTTGTTTCTTATGAACTCAAATGCTAACCTTCTTTTTTTTTCTTCATTAATGTTGCATTTGACATTTCCCTGTTGGTTTTGTATTCTTTAAGAAAAACATTTGTTTATTGATTTTATTTAATCATTTTTAGGCACGTGAAAAGTTCACTTCATTGAAGAAAGGCACACGATTAGATATTGTTGCTGAACTAGAAGAGGTATGCTCCTGTTTTTATCTCAGTCTCATTTGTTGACTATGACCTCTGAAGCTAGAGTTGGTTTTTCTTTAGAGGAAATTGTTGTACTAGACATACAAAGCCCTTAATGGAAAATATCTTCTCCTTCTTGTTTTACCTGTTGCTCATTTATTTCTGTATACTTGTAAGTCTGTAAATCCATTTAAATTTGTTTAAGTGGATTGTCATCTCTTGTACATCTTAGTGTTATGTGTAGTTTGGTGACTGATCACGGTCATTTTATGTGTTTGTGGGTTGTATGATACAAATCCACACCAACCTGAAAAGAAATGAAACAACTAAATTATATAAACCTGAACCAACCCGATATAGGCTCGTTGGAAGGTAAGTATCAGCTGATACAACCCAATACATTGCAAAATTTTAAACCTTTCCTGTCTCTGTGGTCATTTTACGTGTTTTGGAGTCCACCCTAATTAGCTTGATTTCTTCTAATGATAGTTTAGTTAGGTTTAGAATTTTAGCCATTGGTTAATTCATTTAGGACTTGTGTTTTCTTATGATAGAAGCAACTTTTTAATTTTGCATTTCATAGGTTTATTAGGACTGGCCATTCCTGTAGTGTTGATATGTGTAAAGCACAAAATGTGGAGGGATGAATGAATGGACTTTATTTGATACTGTAGAGCTTATGCTGCATGTCGTGAGTGATTCCTATTCCCTAGACTGATTTGTAGGCACCCCATCGACTGATTTGAGGTTTGGTCTCTCTTCTTTTTCTTTCTATTTTCTTTTTTATCTTTTAAGAAGCCATTATAGTTACAGCTATCAACATCTATAATTTCTTCATCAAAAGGTCTTCATTCAATGCTCTCAAAGAACTATAACTGATTTAGGTAAATTTTTTCTTTATTTTCAGGTACACTCGAACTTTATCACTCTAACAATTTTTGTCTTTTTTGTAACTATCTTCATTTGCTCCCATATTTGGATGCCCCCCGTAGATCGTGGAAACACTCTTTCCATCCAAATTTCATTCCAAAATTCCACCTAAAATCATGATTTCCATAAATTTTGAGTTTTTTTTATAATTTCAATATTTTTAATTAAACTAAAACCTTTTCTCATTCCAACCATTTTTGTGTTTTTCTTTTTTGTATCTTTCATTGCTCCCATATGTTGATGCTCTCCATAGATATTGATAATCCTTCATCCATCCAAATTTCATACCTTTTGTGTAAGAAATACACCAAACCTAACCAAACTTGGTTGTCTTCCACAAATATCAATTATAATCCTCCCTATGAAATTTCATTGAAAAATTCCTCTTCTAGACCTAGTTTCCTTATCTGATGCTTTCCATTTTGTCAAGCTGTATTTGATATTACATGGTACAGATCGCAGGGAATCAGGAGTGAGGACAGAGAAGGGTGCATGTAGTATCATGGAGAGCCTATGGGTCTGTGTGGTATCTCAACTACTGTCATTGGTCACTATCTCAAGATAAATATGTATTTTTGTAGTTAGGCCCTGAGACCTTTCTTTATCTTTAGCATGAATATCACCCTGAACCTGTCCTAACCCTATGATGTTCATTCTTAATTCATTCAATCCCTATATTAAGTTTGGTATCGGATCTGTCAGTCCTACATTAAGTGGTACCAAAGCAAGTGGTTCATTTCTAACTATTAAAATACAGTATAAATGTGATAGCAGGAAGCTGCTCAAAACAAGGGGATCACATCATATAGTCAATGCTGCACTCTCTTAGAGAAACAAAGATTTTAAAACAATCCCTATTTCAGCCTATTTATCCTTTTTAGATTTTTTTTTTTTTTTTTTGTGGTTGACTAGTCAGAACCTAGTATGTATATTGCTTAGGAAGGCCAAACGACCAGTCATCACTTCACCTCATTAATAACTTTGCTTAATATGGTTTGGCCCAGATAACTAGCCATTGCATTATTAAAAAAACTCAAAGTACAGAGAAGGAAGTAATTAGAATAGCAGAGATCTTAGGATGTGAAGTCAAAGTCTAACCCCTGGAGTATTTAGTACTCCTCTTCGGTAGAAAAATCTGTGTTGTGGGCATAAATTTGCAAGAGGAGAAAATAATTAGAATGGCAGAGATCTTATGATGTGAAGTCAAAGACTGGCCCCTGCAGTATTTAGGACAGTCAGAAAGCTTCTAGAAACTAGTGGTGGAAAGGTTTCCTAAGAAACTAGCACTTTGGGAAAGAAATTACATTTCAATGGAGAGAGAATAACTTTAACCAAGGCCACCACGGCTAATCATCCTGTTTATTTTCTATCCATGTTCCGTATCCCTGTTAAGATAGCTGGGCAATTAGAAAAGTTTATGGGGGACTTGTTATGGGAACCTGGGGATGAAAAGAAAGACAACTTAGTGAAATGGGAACAGGTTAGTAGGTCTAAAGAGAAGGGAGGGCTTGGGATAGGTAACATAGTCTAGAAGAACATAGCTCTCCTAGGAAAATGGCTGTGGAGATTTCCATTAGAAAAAGAATGGCTTTGGCATAGGGTAATTGAAAGTATACATGGATGATCAGAGAATGGCCAGGATGCAAAGGCAGCCCCAATGCAACTTCATCCTCTCCTTGGAAATCAATATATGTGGTATCCTTTGTTTCTTAACTATATTCAGTTTGATGTGGAGAATGGGCTAAGAGTCTTATTTTAGGTGGACCTTTGGGTAGGTGAAAGTCCACTTAATGTCCAATTTCCTATGCTCTATGCACTCCCCAACTACAAGGCTGAACCCATTGCTAAGTTTATGGTTTTATCCTCCTTGGGGTTAAATTGGGACTTTGGATTCAGAAGGGGCCTTCAGGAAGTGGAGTTTGATTCTCATCCTTATTTTGGCTAGGCTTGATTCATTCTTTTTGGGCCAAAATATAGAGGACACTAGGGTTTGGTCATTTTCTTTGGATTGTTTGTTTACTTGTGGTTCTTTCTTTAATATTTTAATTCAGCCTACTACAATGGGGGCGAACTTCTCAGTGAAAGAAATTTAGAGTTGGCCAATTCCTCCTAAAATTCAGGCCCTTTCTTGGGAGGTTTTCCTTGGCAAGATAAACACTTGTTACTTGCTGCATAAAAGAAAGCCAAACAAATGGCTTCCCCTCATTTGTGAGTCCTTTCAAACGAAGTGGTGAATCTTTTTGCCATATCTTTATTTCTTGCTCTTTTGTGCATTGTATTTGGGAGCATCTTTGTTCTCTCTCTAGGTGCAGGTGGTTCCCCCTTGGGATGTTGTGGGTCTCTTTGATCCAAACTTCTTGAGATAACTAAAGAAAAGAGGAAAGGTTTTGTGGAAAGCAGCAAGGGTGGCTTTGATTTGAAGCATATGGGAATAGAAGAATGGAAGGATATTCAATGAGAAGAGTAGGTCCAGAATGGAAGTCTTGGATACAATAAAAATAAAAGTTACACATTGGGTGAAGACCTTGGAAACCTTTTTAGTCTTCTCACTGAATGACATTTCGTGAACTTGGAAGGAAGTGGCACTTCTGCTTCAAGAAAGGAAAAAAATAATCATGGAATGGTGGCTTCTGGCACTAACATTATAAAACTTAACTTCGATGGAAGTTTTTTAGGCAATCAAGGTGTGGCTGGGTTAGGAGGGGTCTTCCGTGACTCAGAGGGCAAGGTTCTAGCTTTATTTTCAGGATCTATTGAGCATGGTGATTCACTGACGGCAAGGTTCTAGCCCTACTCCATTGTGTAAGGTTTGCAAAGCAATTTGGGTTCCATCAATTGGAGGTGGAAGGGGATTCTGAAGTGGTCATTTCCTGGGTAAGTTGTAATACCCAAATCCCATGGACCTAGAGACACACCTTTTGGGAGATTGTAAGTATAACAAAGGAGCTAACTGTCACTTTTAAATGGGTGAGAACTGCTAATGGGATGGTGGATACTCTAGCTAAACAAGGGGCTTTTGGGCAAAATTGTTATTTTTTTGTTTGTTTGGGGTGGAGAATATGCCACCTTGATGTAATTTCAAAATTTCCTTAATAAAATTCCTCTTGCTGATAAAAAAATTCAAAGTACAGACTATTTGTTTTTGTATGGGATCCACAATACTCTAAGTAGAGTGCTTTTTGAACATAGATAGAATTGTTGAATTTTCTCAATTTGTCAATTCTATTTAATAACTCAATTGCTTAGCCCTGAGTGAGGGATGATTATTTTATTTATGTGGATTGACAAAACTCAGACCGCACTATTTGTATTTTATACAGGATTTACAAAACTCGAAGTCATCATTTGAGAGATGCCGCTTCAATCTAGTATGCCTGATATTTATTTTCTATCACTTGTTTTTACTTCAATGGTGCAATTTTTTACATAAATTGATTGGGTTTCTAAGAATCTACTCTCTGGTTCCAAGGAGTTCAGGTAAATGCCCTCACAAATGTTGAAGCCAAAAAGAAGTACTTGTTCCTGGAATCCTTAAGTGCAATTATGGATGCCCATCTAAGATATTTTAAGCTGGTATGTTTTCAAGTGTCTCAACAACGATGTGGTCCCTATCAAATGGTTGTTATTTCAACACAATTGGACTAAAACAGTTTGTTTCTTTTAGGGATATGGCCTATTGAGCCAGATGGAGCCTTTTATTCACCAGGTAAAACAATGCTACTATTGATTTCTATAAACCTTCCAAAGCAAAGCATCATACACATGATAACTGATACAGGCACATACACCTAGGGGTGTCCATAAAAAACCGAAAAACCGAACCGGACCGAGAAAACCGAACCGCAAAATGCGGTTAACTGAATCGATCGGTTCGGGATTTTTGAAAAACCGAAGGACTGGTTCAGTTTTCAGTTAACCTACAAAAAAACCGACGGTTAACCGAACCGGCCGGTATATTTTTAATATATGTCACATATTTCCTATGTATTATATATAAATATATATTCATTGTATATATAAATATATACTTATATTTATAATGATCTATTTATAAATATATTATATATATTATATATTTTTCAAGTATTTATAATATATTATATATCATTTATTTATTATATAATATTATACATATATTTGTATAATATATATTATAAATATAAAAAACCAAAAAACCGAACTGGTCAAAAATTGAAACCGGTGGCATCGGTTCGGTTTCGGTTTGGAGAATTGGAAAAATCAGTACCACCGGTTCGGTTTAGAAAAAAATGCTATGGTTCGGTTAACCGAACCGTGGACACTCCTACATACACCCACACAGAGAAAAAAAGAAAGTTAAAAAGAATCCTATTGCCTTGAGGACTTTGGCAGGTAGGGTGAGCATGGATTAAATTACTTGTGTATTGACTGAAATTAAAATTTGGTGTGAATAGAAGAGAATATAGAGTAACAGAGATAAAGGGAGAGAATTGATTGGAGGGGTATAGGATGATGAGGCGTGCAACCTCCTTTCACTATTTGTAATATCTCACTAGCAGGGACTCATGTGATGCACAGGATTTATCAAGGGAATGTGAAATAACCAAAACTTATAACAGAGGAAGGAATGCAATGTTGTTTAGAATAATTAAATCTTTATTTTACTAATTTGTTACAAAAATGATTTACTAATTTAGTAAATTGAATTAACTATATTAATGATTTTAACAAAAATAACAAATTATTGCTAAATACTTTATAAATTAATAATTTTTTTTTCATGTTTTCTATTTGTGTTCTATTTTATTTATTTTACTTTTGATTAAATGTTACAATTTTTTGTAAATACCACTTAAATATTTAAAACACTTAAATATTAATAAATATATAAAATTAGGCTATAGTCATAATTAAATTAATCTATTGTTAACTTTTTAAGTTGTAATTAAATTAATGTAAGCCTGAACTCAAGGTTTAAGACTTTGGTTTAGGATTGGATTGATCCTCATCCTGACCTAACCCACCCAAGTTGCACACACTGTGACATTCGTAATTGGACTGAACCAAACCGAGTCCAACCCATGTATACATTATTTTTGGGTTTTTTTATTAACTATTTTAGATAATATTGAAGTCAAAAGAGCCAAGGGATGGGCTACCCCCATTATGTAGCCTAATGAACCAAAAAAAATAATAAAATCTTGGGCCAAATTTTGATAGTGTATTAACAGTTTTTAAGCTTGCTTGGCCTAGGACATGGACAAGCTTGTTCATGTTAATTATAACACTGATTTTTTTTACAAATTAAATTTTTATTTAATTTTAGTCTATTTAAAAATTATATAACATTTATATATATTAATATGAAATTTGTTATCTAAATATTATATAATAATATTTACCATATAGGCATATAACTTCCAGGTTGAGCTTAGGGTTACTTAGCTTGGGCCTTATCTACTAGTGTTGTCATTGTACTTCGAAAGTTCATTACCCTACTAGACTTAGAATTTGGTTATCCCATATTTGGATATTAGAACTTGCATCTGATTAATAGTTTTATTGGATGTGGGTTTAACCCCATCCAATTTGATTAAAATCCATCTCTAATAAAAATTATTATTTTATCTATATGTAGTATAATTATGTATACATATAGATATTATGTGTAATTATATAAAGTTTATAATTAATAAATTTAATATTTTTTATTTATATGCATTTATTACACATATACACTTTAAAATTCGAAATGTGTGGGCTTGGTGCATATCTGAGCTAGGCCTAGCTCACAAGAAAATAGTTACTTGAGCCTGAAAAATTTATAGGTCTAGCCGAGTTGGGCTAAGTTATAAATGATTTGTTACTTTTTATTATTAATTTTAATTATCCTATTTGTTGAAGATTAATTAGTTTTATGATGTTTTTCTAAGTAGATGTTTATGTTAGTTGTTAGATAGGAGGTGGGGACCACAGCAGTTATGTGAGTCCAAATTTTATTATGTTTTTTGAAGGTTACATATGCTGTTTTATGTTTTGCCGCCTTATGAGGGCATAGTTGTCTTTGTACTGTTCTATTATTTTAGTATAAATAATAAGTGAGGGGGGCGGCCAGTATTATTGCTCTCTTCTCTTTCAAACTCTCTTCTTCTCTTCTTCTCCCTATCTCTTCCTTCTCTCTTCAAGAAACTACTTTCTTTCATATTTTTTAATTCAGCAGATTTCTACTCTATTAATACTAAATTTTATTAATTTCTTAGTTTTTAATAGTTTATAGATAAACTTGCTAAAATTTAGTTTTTTATTAACTTTAGTAATTTTTTATTAATTTTATATCCATACTACATGCACTATGTGTGGGCTTGGTGTAGATTTGACATTTGAGCTAGACCTAACTTAGAAGAAAATAGTTGCTTGAGCCTAGAAGTTTGTAGGTTAAGTTGGGTTAGGCTAAGTGATATATAATCATCTTTAAGTAGGAGTCTTATGACATTTTTAATTGGGTCATTATTAGTTTTATTATTTTAATTAATTTTTATATGGAATGCAAATGGTTTATTTTATTTTATTTTCATAATTTTTTTTACTTTTTACTATTAATTTGAACTATCCTATTAGGTTTCAAATTATATATAGATTACTATTATTATTATTATTTGTATTATTATTATTTCTATGGTATGTGTTAAAATATGTAGTATTGTGTATGACACGTTATGGGTTTCCAGACGAACTAGAAGTGTTTTCGAAAATGGGTCAAAACAGACCCGTTTAGCTCATCTTCTTCACCAAATTGATAAAATGGGTTCTACATTTTAAATTTTCATTAATTAATTTATTTTTATATCATTTTTAATGGATCCTCTATTTTCTATAAGTCTCTTATGTAGCATGTGCACTATGCACAGTAAAGGTCTCCACTCATAAAAATTATTAATTTTTACAATATTATTAATTAATTAAAAATGCATTAATACAAAGTTATCTAATAAAATAAAAAGAATAAATAAAACAAAATGCAACATTAGAACACGGATTCTATGTGCATTATATCGAACCCATGTTTAAATGATAATATTATTAAAACTATCAATTAATATTTTTTTTATTTGAACTTATTTTTATTAGTGTTTATTAAGTTTGATTTTTAAGTGGAATTGAAATGTTTTTAATTAAAATTTTAATGAAACCAAAGATAAATCTATTTGAACTTTTACTAAGTTTTGTTAATAGTATTGTTTTTAAGTGAAGTTTAGTGGATTTTTATATTAATAATTTTTTAAAATAATAGTTTTATTTTTGTAGTATGTGCACCATGCACAGTAAAGGTCTCAACTCATAAAAATTATTAATTAAATTAAAATGCATTAATACAAAGTTATCTAATAAAATAAAAAGAATAAACAAAACAAAATTAAACATTAGAATGTATATGCAATATATCAAACCCATGTTTTTAATTAAAATTTTAAGAATGTATTTTAATTTTTATCAAGTTTTGTTAATAGTTATTATTTTTAAGTGAAAGTTTAGTGGATTTAATTTTTTTAAATATATATTTTTTTATTTTTGTTTTGATGTTTAACCTCAGCCTGTTTAGATTATTTGATTTATTAATATTTTAATTACTTTATTCTGTTGTATTACTATTCTCACTCTCATTCTCTCTATTTATCTCTCTCTCTTAAATGTATTTCTTAAATGTAATAATAACATGCATTGAAATAAGAGGCTTTGGAAACCCAAAGGTCTTTCTCTCTCTCCCTCTCTCTTCATAATTGTGTAAATCTTTATTGATCCAATCAAAATTGGCATTGATTACTATTTTATATTTTTAAAATAAAAGAAAATAAGAAAAATGCAAAAAAGGAGAAAATAGATAAATAGCTTTTCTGAAAATAGAGGCATGCTGACATGGCATGTCTTGTTTTATTTTATACATACATACATAAAATAACTAGAACACCCGCTCACAATTAAAGTCCAGTTTGCAACTTTAATAATTCTCCAAACAGTCTACTAGTCCAATATTTGCATGGACTATTAGCCAAAAGAAAAAAGAGGGCTCTGATTTCAACCTGGGTATAAGAGAAATTAAAAGTTAGTGAGGATTGAAAAAATGGAGCAGAGAGAGAGAGAGAGAATCAATTGGTGGGGAGAATGATGAGGTCTGCTGCACCTTGGTTGTGCAAGTCTCCTTTATTATACTTTTTTGGTATTAAACATAATTGACAATTTCATTGATAATATAAAGTTGTACATCCATGGGATGATGAGAGATAACCATTCAAAATATAAAAAAACAAAAAATACAACAATTCAGCCCAATGACTGTTGAATGATAACCAAAATCCATCCCCAAGAGAATCTTTTGACATCCCATATAACTCTGGTAAAATCAAGATCCATTCCAAAATTCTTTTCCATTGGAAAAGGCAATTTGATCCCTTTGACTTGACTAATCTTCAAAAATTATTCAATTCCTCTCCTTCAATATTTCCCAGAAAATAGCAAAAGTAACACAGATTTAAGTAATTTGTGCTTCCTATGTCCTTTTGGTATGGGCCAACAAGCAAATATATCTTTTGGTCTTGGTGCCCACATAGTCAATGGGTCGGGTCTGGTTTGGGACTGGGTGGATCTTTCCTGAATTGATAAGAAATAAGGCTGTTCTGGTCGCAAACCACACTCTCAGGAATATAATTTCAGATCCAACACCAAACTGAT